TACTGGCGCGCTGTTCGGATGGTATTCCAGGAAAAGAGGAAAAGGAGAGGGATGACAGCCGTGACTGGAGCTCTGATGTAGACTCTGATCTCTCCATGGCTATAAAGACAAGACAAACATCCCAGTCTGCGTGGCTGTGAATATGAAACCCCGCCCCTTCCAGCCACAGTGATGTGATGGCACACTCCTATTAGCCTGTAAAGCAGGCTGGATACACGAAACAAACTGCTGCTTGGCATAAAGGGCCACGCTAACCATAATACAGGCTTGAGAATTAACACCTAAAGCTAAAGAAACCAACTGTGTGAACATGTAGTTAACTAGCTACGTCCAGGTAAACTGACATTAGCTTGCAGCTGGCTAGCTAGCTAGCTACTAGCTACCTAGCTAGCAGAAAAAGTGCAGGTGAAGCTGCGAACACACCAGGCACGAGCTTATCTTACCACGGTGTAAGTTAATGATGATAACCTGATAGTTCGATACCGTTCTACCTCCGTCCAACTCAGACCAAGGAGAAATACGCCTACATATCACTGCAGTCGTGTGGCGGATATCGCCACACCGCTGTTGCTTGATAAGAGGAAAAAAAAGACAAATGTTTGACACTTCCGTGTTTTTACGACTGTTGACGAAAATCAGCGAATCTTAAACAACCAGATTCGGAGGTGCTATAAACTAATAGTTGCAGCTACAAATGTTATAACCACTATCCTAAGCAAAGTAATGCAAAGAAAGCCTCAGTAGAGACATTTTTCATATTTCTATGTTTGCCTTCTTGTGTCCGTGGCCTATGTTTCATTAGTCTTTATGTTTTAGTAGGCTACTCTTTTTTTTCTTGTGGATATTTGGAAATGTATTTGACAGTGAAAGGAGGTCTGATATGAAATCAAGACAGGACATACATTTTTTAAAATTACTTTATTATGCTTTTGCAATATGTAACAAAAATATTTCCACTATTGCTTTTTGTGCATTGTAAAAAGTCATGATTTTCACGTATTTACCTAATATTTAGGTATAAAATACTGAGGAAAGCAAATAACTGCAGGTATCGCAAAATACACTGTTTAGTCCTTTAAATGTATTTTTGCAAATAATGCATTATAATTATACATTTTATAACATATAATCTATATGTGTAACATGAGGTATACAACATTAAACTCACAGCTGATGAAACTTACACACTGGGATGTAATCTTCTAATTTTACTGGTGTCTTCAGCAGTGATTTGTATGCTGCAGAGATGCACTGCTGCATAGATGTATTGCTTGATAGAAAGCACAGCAGTGGTGTCTCCTTGGTCTGGGCATCAGTGAGAGAAATCCAGGGAAAAGGCCTTTGATTAAAAAAAAAAAAAAAGCAAAGCAATATTTTTAAATTAGTGATTTTTTTTCAATTTCTTTCATCTTTCCTCATATAACACATTTTTCTATGCAATACGGTGCAATAATACTGCAGTACAGTGAAAGTAACTGCTTGATCTGTGAGGAATTACATTTTATTATCTAGACAGGACTAACAGGAGTAAAATACATTCTTGAGCGATACAGTGTTACACTCACTCCTCTGTAAGAAGGGAAGATGCATAAGATGAACTGATGAAATTCTGAGCATTTAATTGGACAGCGAGTGTCGATTTCTCTTTGAAGAGGCTGTTGATCAGAGACAGGGCATCACAAGAGCCCAGACCAGCAGAAGTGCAGATATTTAGTAGGCTGTACAACACTACGCACACCCAGTTCAAACCCAGAGATATGCCACCTGTATTAGGAAGTCACAGGAATACAGCTCAATTAATATAAATGATGTCAAATCAAGGGTGAAGCCCTGCTACAACAAATGTTTACTCTAACATCTTATATAACATGACAACTTTAAATGCAGGCTCTGAGAAAGAACATGACATACCAGTCATTGTAACAGGACATGATGCCGCTATCAGCAAAGGGTCCTTCAAAGCAGTGGTCAAGTGACTGCAGGACAGCCACACATCTGCAGTGTCACAAGCCACAAAGTCATACTGTGGTCTTACAATGAAGTCGTGCCCAAGAAGTCTAGCCAACCTGACAGAGACATGTAAAAGATGAGGGCCTCCTTGACTGAAAATCAAAAACATCAGTTGCATGTGTGTGGTAGTACCTGGTGACCGGCACAGCAGAGGTGAAGCTGTACACAAGGCAGTGTTTTGACAGATGAGAGTGGAGATCAGCACAGACTCTGGGGAGGTGAGATGGCAGACAGCAGAGAAACAAAATGTCGGACCATGCTGCCAGTCTGCGATTGTCAAAGAAACATTCAACCCCCGTCTTTACAAATTTCACTGAAATATACAAGCAACAAAACAAGTTTAAGGACAGGGTCTAGCTTGTATAGGCTACTGTAAATACAGCTGTTTTAGTATATAAGGATCTAAGATCAATGTGCAGTAGTTAACATTGCATCTTGTTTAATCATTTTTGGACTTTCTGAACATCTGAGAAAGAAAAACCCTTTTTACTTGCAATAAGATCAGGGTACCTGCAGATTCTGGTCTTCTAGTGGAGACTTGAATGTGTGATGATTTGATGCCAGTCATTTCCAGGAGGGAGAGGAGCAACTGTTTTCCCATGTGACCCATCCCAAGTATCCCCACACAGAGGTCATGGTGTCCTCCTGATGCCACCGAGTCTCTTTTTGCAGTGTGACTTTTGATGATACACCTAACCGTGTAGCCACCAGTTAGGGTGATTATACAGTATCATAAAGCACGCTAACAAACATTGTAATTTTTTTTTGATAAAACACTAAAAACAGACCAGCAGATGCATTACCTCAGTGAGTGGACCAGATTGCACAGGTAAACCGCGTGCGCACATCCGCAAAATGTCAGGCCCGCCGATCTCGCACGAAGGTAAAGTAACTTTTCGTCATCTTCATTTAGTCCAGTCTCAAAAGCGAAACTACTCAAACCAGAAATTATGTCCATCTTTGTAGAAAGTGGACATCGACAGGCTTTACAACCAAGTGTTGCCATGCCAATATTACCAACTTCCGATTTAACGGGGGTCATATTTCAAAATAAAACGATTCCCGACAACGCTGCACGTTCAGAATAAAAGCAAGAGTTACAGAGCTGCGAATCAAAAATAAAATATCTACATTTCTTTGTTATGAAAACGAAATCTGAAACAGAAAATCCATACATAACCTGACCCATCCACCCCACCCCAAGGGGTCCCATATCAGACTGTGTGGATATAATAGTAGCACAAGAAGTCAATTACATTAATATTATGAAAAGCAAGCCACACTATGGAATTGAACCATTTTTATTCCCCTTTCATGCTTTTAAAATTCAATAATTATCTGTACACTTATGTACAAGAAATACTATTCTTTTCACATAAACCAGAGAACGAACAAATTAGATATCTGCAACACATATTACACCAAATATCTATAGTGTTACATACACTTAAAAAATCATTGAGCAGAATATTAAGACTTTGCTTGAAGTCCTTGAATAGAATATTTTTGTGCATACATTTTTTGTGTATCCACAATTTGAAAATGGAAGTGCCAAACTAAAACATTTACAGTTCTAAATTCAATAAGCAGCCTTTTCAGGACAGCAGCTTTTGTAAGAATTGGGCAATCTTCCCTTTTATGATTCATTTGTGCAGCAACCCTTCAAGTTACTTAAAAGTGCTGATTACAGAACTTTACATTTTTGTAACACTGTTTCTGTGCTCTCTTTATATTTGCATGAAATGTTACACATTAGGAATATTTACAGTAAATAATGAGGCTCAAATATAGTGAATGTTATATATAAATTAAGGTTCATTACACCTATGTTAGTGTTTGCTGACACCAAGTAGGATAACAGAATGTAACCACACACGACTTGTAAACAGAGCTGTTTGAAGCTAATGTTTGCACCTGATGAGACAACAGCCTATTTCTTCAGTTATGATTTTAAATTTAAAATGCCATTATCTATCCTACAACAGAACATAAATCCACATAGACATCATTTGATTCATTTATTCATCTCTCACACACACACACACACACACACACACACACACAGCTGGACAATGCTGACAACCTTGAAGGCACTGTGAGGGAACTGATAAGCTGAATCACAGTAGCTGAAACTGCCACAAGATGAACAGTGTTTTGTTTTACACCAGGGCTGTGATGTACCTGTGAGATACTCCTCTTGCTCTGATAGCGCACACTTCTTCACTTCACTTATCAGCTGTTGCTTCAGTCACCATATTACAATAAGAATTATTCCTCGCCCTGCCTCCATTTCTGTGACTCTTCCTGACGTGCATCAGGGTGAATCTGGTTCCTCATCCCACCCAAGACATTAGAGGTTGCTTCAGTGGCCATAATGATCGGTTTGACTACTGCTGGTGGCAGCTGGCGGAGAACTCCACCGACTGCCCCCGTCATCCCACGCTGCTCGTGCTCCCGGGTGGCCGTGTCATAGATGGTCAGTGCAGTATCTGTGATCCCCTGCAGATGGAAACACCATAAAATTCTCATTAAAAAGGTGTCTTTCCATTAATGTCAATGCAGTGAAAGTTTCCATTTGAGCTTCAGGTTCATGTACCTCTTTAACCACAGTGTAGGCTTTGGCTACACCTTCCCTCAGGTCAACGGGCTGATGAGCCAATCCATAATGGGAGAACCGTTTTATCTTCTTTGTGTCTCTCTCATCAGGTACTGGAGACACCATGTCATATGCCGTCTCAGCTGCTGCCTCAAAAAAAAAAAAGTAGACAAAACCATTTATTTGTCTGATGCTTTTGTGAATAAAGCTTTCCAGTGACAGTGGAAAGGCATGCTTACTTGTATAGTCCGCACCATCCTGTTGGTGAGCTCCAGAGCAGCCATTGCAGTAGAAGTGCCAAAAGAGGCTGTTCCGCGCTGGAACCCGCGCACTATCCGGCCATCCTTCCTATACTGCTCAATAGGGAGCCAGACCAAGTCTCTGAATCCCTGAACTGAACAAACATTTATGTTAAGAACAGGGAAATACACCACATGGGAGATACACCTGGATCAGTACACTTACAGTATGTACTTTAAATGACTGTCAGAGCAGCTTATTAATGGAATCATAAATTACATGAATTACATAAATGCATATGAAAACACCAAAAAGCCTGCGACTGGATTAAGAACATGTGTTGCACTCACCCAACTGCACCAGAGAGTGAATAGGTCCCACACCACCCAGTAGACCTGGAAGCTGGTTCTTCTTTATGTCATTTAACCACTCGTTTATTGCATAGGAAAACAGCTTATCCACGCCTAATAATCTGAAATACAAACAAGTAATTAGTGTATTAGGGAAACTATAAGTGAACAAATGTGATATAATTTATTGTGGTGTGTTAAAGAATTCAGAATAAGAATTTCATATGATAGTGTGCTGAGATAAACATACCCTTGTCGATAGCACAACTGTCTCAGTTTTAGCTCTGAACAATTCAGCTGTGTCAACCCGATAATGATCCCTGCAAACGTTCCCTGAAACACAGCAGTCACACTCATTCATAAAGCACAAATAACTTCATGTGGAAATGGAAAGTGCAGTTAGACCATGTACCTGTTCCATTGACACATGCTTCCCATGGTAATCTAAGCGAATGGGAACTTCAGAGGTAAATCGGAACTCTCTGTTAGGGAAAAGAAAATAAGTTACCAAAGACAAAAAAAAAGCAATTCAATTATTTCTTCAAAGGTGTTTTTAGTTATTTTCCCACAGACCTAAAAAATATTGGCTGCTCGGTGAATGATGAAGCAGAGGTTTCACTGTCAGTCACTTCCTCCCTGCCAGATGTAGAGAAACCATTGTGGATCAAGCGTCTCTGAGCAGGCACTGAGATGATTGGGGCCAGGTTCTGGCTGCTGCCAGTGTGTTTGGAGAAGCTACAAGAGATCTCTGGGGCAGCTGCTTTCTTTGTGGAAATGCAAACAGCTGCAGAACAAAATATTATCAGGAGCCATGGATGGATGTAATGTATACAACAAAGAATGCTTGAAATGTCATTTTTACCTTCTTGAGCAGGAGGTGAGAAAAACTCGACTTCAGTAGCAAGACTAGTAAAGAAGTCCTTCAAGAAGAATAGTGCATCCTTCAAACAAAAAGAACACAGGACTGTCACTTGTTGTTACTGAGGATGCTAAGTTTGCCATCTGTACCTGAATCCTTTACCTGATCAATATTGAGGCGAAGTGGCATCAAGGAAACACGTAAACAGCACTCCTGAGGGGCCTGCCCTGACTCTGGACACATGTGCAATGCCTTAACTGTCAACTAAGAGCAAAAGCACATGAGATCACACCAGGTTGAGACTTATCTTGGTCAATGTGAGTGCGTTGCCTTTCTTACCATGTTAGAATGGGCTTTTCGGGGCATTTCTTTGCTAGAGTACAAGTAGAGGAACTTGTTCATCTGTGACGTAGCCAGTCTGTCGCGAATCTCCAAGTCCTGCACAACAAACACCTGCCGGGAAACTGGCTGGTCCACTGCAGACCCAGAAGTCACCTGGGCCTGTGGGTACACCTCATGTTGAAATCTCACCTGTGGCAAAGGAAAAGGCAGCTAACAATAAAGAAATGACCCAAGACACTGGTATGATGTGACTGAGTGTATCATTATAAACTGGAAACATAACTTTACCTTGCTGAGTTGGATCTCCATCAGGACATCGGGGTTCCTTCCTTTTCCACCTCCTGCTCGTCCTGAAGCCTTGGTCTGTCTGACTGGAGTTTGGGAGGGAGAGCTACGAGGTGTCGCCCTGCAAGGCAGAGAAAAGAATAAAAATTAAATGTCTACTTCCCTTTGAGCAAAGTCAACCATTGTGTGAACGGTTAAACAGTTCATGGCTCACCCCCGGCTTCTAGCAGGAGAGGCTGTGAAAGTTGCGCTCCCAAAGTCCTTCCCGCCATAAAGATGCCAGATGACAGAGATCTCCTTGATGAGGTAGCGCACCTCTGGAATGGGAAAGTTCATGGCTCCACGACTGGAATCACTCCCATCCAGTGGCTGACTGAAATGATCATCTTTGATTTCCACTGGGTCTGAGGTAAGCTGCTTTACTACTGGCTCCTGATCACGATCCTGAAACACGTGGTGTGGACAAACACAGCTTTTGCAAAAATCTGTCACTTACTGTGTTACAAATCCATAAATGTGTGATTGAGATAACCTCACCTCTCCTCTGGAACCTGGTGTTTCCAGGATACAAAAATCATCTGTCTCTTGGGCCAGGTTAGGGACGGGGGTGATGAGAGGAGAGTGAAGCATTGGATAAGTGGGGCTCGCATCTTGGTTAAAATTTCCACTCTCATCTGGGAACAGGAACAGGTCTGAGCAAGGAGGGTCATGGTCCTGACTCCACTCCTCATATGTACCTGTAGATGTGTGAAAAGATAGAAGATCTTGTTAAGTTATATAATTCATATAACTGGAATCTTTAGTAAACAAAGGCCTCACCATTTTGCTGTTGACCTGCTGGATGCTGCCCATCAGTCTCCTCCATAGCTTCACTCATCAAATCCTGCAACATCTGCTGCTCAGTTGCAGCAAGCAGCTGAGCCTGGGATGTAGGGCGACCAGGAAACTCCGCCTGTCCAAAACACACTCAAACTAATCACGAAGGAATGGTAGGATTATGAAATCATATTTTAACTGTGTAATTATGGCTAATGAAAGGTATCACTGCTGACCTTAGTTCTTTGTGAAGCGAGGTTGTGCTTGCCCTCTGGTTCTGAAGGGGGCAGCAAGTCTCCATAACTCGCCACATACTGAATAAGGTTCATGAGAGCGGCACAGGAGTCCGAACACGTTCTGATGTGAATGACATCACTGGAACAGCGCAGCTCAAATCTGGGCTCAGACTATCACCCAAGAGACAACGAAAAGGTATACAGAAATGTGTGACCCTTGCTCTTGAGAGAAAACGTCAAAAATGTCATTTAACCCTTACCAGTTTTCCATCCACTCCAGGTTTGACAGCGGTAATCCTCAACTCTAGTGTTCCCATGTCTACCACTTGAACATAGTCTGTGATAAAAAAAAAAAGGTCACTGGACAGAGCTACATTTTTAACATTTCAAGCCATTTATTTAAGATTATAACTGAAGACAACTTACCACGTGCTAGATTAACAGAGACTGCGTTACTCTTGTCTGAGAGAAACAAAGCAGCGTCATCCAAAATGATCCTGTAAACAACATGATTTACTTAGCAAAGACAATTTTTTCTTTAACTCAGCCACAATTACATCTCTCAATTCTGTACCGAGTCAAAGCTGGTAGGCTGTTAATACCTGAGTGTTGAAGAAGAGTGGTCTAAAGAGACGCTGCTGGAGATGCTGAAAGTTTCTACGACCAACAGTGACCTTAGAGGCAGGTAAAGAGGTCTGTGGGTGAAAAAAATTCAAATGCCACATTAGAATAAATGCAAGGAAAATATATAACCTTTAATGAGTTGAAGTGTTAAGTTGTTCTTTACCTGTAGTCCAGAGAGCAGCTCCACAGATGTAGATGTAGGGTGGCGACAGATGTCGGAGGGGCGTAACCCAACACAGGTTCATCAGACACATTCAGGAAGTCGACAATCTGTTGTACCACATTAGCAGGAATTACAAATGTTGGATTTTCTAGCATTACATATTCTTCAAATGTCCCCTGAGCATGTCATATTAAGATAAACAAATATAATCTGCTGTAAGCATTAGTGAGATGGTAGCCACAGCGTGTCCTACCTGATCATACCAGCCCAGGCTAGGAGGGACCACTCTGTGCTGGAGTGTGGCACCTCTCACTCCAACAGAAACCAGAAATTCCTGCATAAAAATACACGCATAACACAATGAGCCCCGCCGCCCCCACCAAAAACAAAACATAACAAAAAAAACTGCCGAAATACCACTGCATACTAAGCAAAATCAAGCTGACTGACACACGTTATACTACAGCAGCTAAAATAAGGCAAACCCTTGACTAAATATGATTTTATATAAAAGGTGTGCTAAAAAAGATGCTACTGCACAATTGGAGTTTCCAGAATATGGAAAATTTGCATACAATATAATCTTTCCCACAAGAGAAATGTTGACTCAGCTGCTCATTATTTAAATACTGAAGCGGTGTATGAGATACCTGTTTTAAAGAATAAGGCCGGCCATTTTCTATATTATTTATTTTCAACACTCCCCATACAGAGAATGTCCGTTAGCGTGTCAGTACTGGACCAGCTTATTCGTCTGTCATAGACAGGCTACCTGTCAGTGATTTCAGTACTCTACCTTGACATTACGTTCTGAATTCGGTGATGAGATTTTGACAGCGACAGACACCATGCTGCGGGCCTCCAAACCAATACCCTCTGAGGGTGTTGAAGATCTCTCAGAAGATGTGTCTGACTGGTAGATGGTTGGCTCTAGCCAATGGGGATGTGTCCTGCACGGCAGTTTGATGTCTGAAACAGAGGTGCCTCCATCCACAAGTCCTGTTTAACAGAGTGAGACATCAATGAAAAGGCACAAGTACATAAATGACACATCAACAGTAATGCACACACAGTTTAGCTGCATTGTAGTGCTCTCTGTATATTTTAGGTCAAATATCTTCAACATATAATCAACATCACAGTAAATAAGTGCAGCTGGCTTACCTTCGTGATACATGCAAATGCTGCTAGTGTGGAAACAGATGTAGTGTTGGTCTTTGTAGCCTTCATACTGTGTCACACTGAACAGCACAGCATTTTTCACCTCCAGCCAGAACTCACCGTGCTTGTTTTTCAGTACAGATTTTTCCTCCTGCTGGGACAATAGATAGACACTCAGCCCCACTTTCTATAAAACAAGTTGCTAGGAATAGCAAAACAAAAATGTGAAGATATTAAGTGTTATCAAATTGAATGTGAGTTTACCTTAGTGTTAGTCTGAAGAGCCACCAGGCCATGATTGACACTGAGGATGACAGAGAACAGACTCTGGGATGTCTTGCTTTGGGCTTTAGGCTTTTTCTTCTTGCGTGATCTGAGGCCCTGGTCGGAAGCAGGAGAGTAATAGTGCATGGTCTCCTCCTCTGAGCCACTAGTCTCCTCTGCAAGCAACACAACGCACGTTTAAACAAAAGCTGCTGGTTGTTTAAACATGACTTCACAATAGAAGATCCTGCAAACTTTACAAAAGCTTGACCTAATGTCTGAACATGAATGTTTTTTACTGCCTCACCCTCGGGACCCGTAGAGCGGAACTGGCTGAAGCTGTCCTTGGAGTAAGTGTTGATCAACTGACTGGCGACAGAGAGTCCAACTCCGTACGGCATGTTCTCCACAGTCTCCACTGGAGATGGAGCAGTGGGCTCCCACAGAAGCAGGTCATTGTTTACCCTGAAATATCAAGAATAAGCATTTTACATACAGAAGAAGTAAGGAATAGTTAGAGCATGTCAGACTATAGTAGATGCCAGAACAGAAATGTACTATGAGTTCAAACAACAAAATGGCAAGTTCGAAGTGACACAATTACACTTCTCAACATGTTGATTACCAGCTACTACAGGGGCATATTGTACATGTACAAAACTTTTTAAAGTCAGGTGTTTTAAGCCGGCTACAGTATAACCCAAAATTTCTTTTTATGACAAATCTTTATCCTAATACTGTATATACCTGTTTTGTTTTGCTGCATTTTTATTGCCATGATGGCATTTATCACTACCTCTGTCAAGGAGGTCGTGATTTTTTTCACTTGTTTGTTCACTGCATAACACAAAAAGTAATGAATGGATTTTGATGAAATTTGAACAGTAGAGTATGGCCCATGGTACAATCCATTAGATTCTGGTGCTGACCTGGATTACAATCTGGATCCAAGAATTTTTTTTAAAGATTCCTCACCGTTGTGAGATAGGGCCAATTTCACTACTTCATACACAATGCCTATAATGCTTGGACAAAAAATGCATAGTAACATCCACATAATATCGAGCACACACCAAAGTATGGCCCTGTTTAGACTTGGTTTTAAAATGTGTCTTGGACGATCGGCGCACAAGTCAAGCCGAGACACATTACCATTTACAGCTGTCAATATAGATACATCTCACAGGTGACCACTTGTGTTCAGATTTCACTACTGCTGTGACACTTCTGCTTAAATATCAAATGGCCAAGGGTGCAACTACTGCTTCAGTCTGTTACCAGACAAGTGCCAGTAGTCTCCCTATCCAAAGAAGCAGCAGAAGACAAGCGTCAGATTTGTACATGGATGTATTATGAAAGCTTTAGCAATACATTGATGGATTTATATAGGCTATTTCTCTGCATTTTTTTCTTTTTTGGCTCACTCTCCCCAAAACAACAACACATCCTGCACCAATGACACGTTTTCCTTGAACAGCATTGTCAGGGATGCATCAGGACACATTAGCGTTTACACTACAGAAAATATGTGGTCAAATGTGTTCCAGACCAGTTCAGCAAGTGGTTTCAGTGATCAGATCACAATCCATCTTGGTGGTTGTTTACACTCTTAAGGTCACAGTTAAAAGTCTTGTAGGCCGGTGAGTGTATATGCATATAATATTTATTTATTTATATTTATATTACTAATATTGCTTTAAGGTGGAAATGTATTATAAGGACAGTGAACTGCCTCAGCAGAGATTTACACTTCCTTAGTGTTGTGGAGTTTTACAAACTCCATACCTGTTGTGCAGTTTTTCATAAAATGCCTTGCTGGGGAGTGCTAATTGCACATTAGGGAAACACAACTCAAGGACAAAACGAGAGTTGTTCATGTTTTTTTCCTGGAACTCCGTCATTTCGGCAACATCCCCAGGAATGACCATCTGGAATAAAAAAAATAAAAATAATCATAAACATGGGCTGGGCCCATAACCACCTGCACTGTCAACAGCTTAGATATGGAAAGCAGTGCTCATGTTGGTGTTTGCATAATGATGCATCTGTCATAGATTTGAATGCATATCAGAGGAAATCCTCATTCTCAAATGCCAATTTATTCATAGGCACCAAGCCCACCTGCCTCGGTAGACCAATGCCATCACCAAAACTGCAACACAACTTCTTCACTTTAAAAAGCAATGCTTTCAAATATAACAAAATATGTCTGCTGCAACATCTCCTATAATGTCACTGAAGGTTTAAATT